TTGACAAGGCTGGCCTTGTCGAAAAGTAACGGTACCACTGACTAGTTTACCGGTGACTACAGCGAGATGGCGGTCGAACTAGCACGTCTACCGTACGTCGGCTTGATTAACTACTCGCACTTGATATCCTTGTTAAAAGTCTACCCCACAGGCACTTCTGGTCTACTTGCTCGCCTGAGACAAAGTCCGCGATGGCCGTTCCTTGAGCACTCATCACCCGTGACTCTATGGCACCATTTTGCTGCGGCCATGCACGCCTTATTCAGCAATCGCCGTTAGGCATGGCCGTATCAGGGGGTGGAAACTAACGATTTTAAATTGATTCACTGCTTGAGTAGCCTATTGGTCCCAAGTACTTCTATCATAGAGGTAACTCTAAGACCACTGGGTCCCGAAGAAAATCATTATTATTTTTGGCTCACTCAGTACCAGAACAACGGTCCCAAGCAGTCCCAAGCTATTTCACTCACCCCTGCATGTTCTGCATGAATCCACACACCCCTGATGTTATCTGTCAAACTTTCATAGCGAATCAAAACAAACATAGTGTAGTAATAGAATTTCAACTAGAATAGGGTACGTTAATCGTTTGCTTGGGACCAATAGGCTACTAAGGTGGTGAGCCAATTTAAAATCGTTAGTTTCGTATTGATTGTTGCTTCTATGGCGTACCCCATTCTAGTTGAAATTCTATTACTACACTATGTTTGTTTTGATTCGCTATGAAAGTTTGACAGATAACATCAGGGGTGTGTGGATTCATGCAGAACATGCAGGGGTGAGTGAAATAGCTTGGGACTGCTTGGGACCGTTGTTCTGGTACTGAGTGAGCCAAAAATAATAATGATTTTCTTCGGGACCCAGTGGTCTTAGAGTTACCTCTATGGCCGTATCGTCTGCCCAGTGGGTTTCACCGCAACTGTTATACGTACCAATTTATTTGAATGCTCGATCACATAGTGCATATTTAAAATATCGTATTCGAACTTTGTAACAGAACGGTTACAAACTGGAAGGCGTTTGTAATGTTTAATGAAACTGAAATATTTGATTCCGATGCAACAGGGGGGCACTAGGGTTCTTAAATTGAATTTGATTTTTATATTTTTCTTTGATTATATAGGTTTAACTACCATATTCCCGACCTGTTAAGCACAACCTGCAATTAGTCTTTATAATCTAGTGTAGTTTACCATAGTTTAGCACCAAACGGAATGTTATTATTAAAGATGGCTTTCAAATTTATTTACCTTTCGGCTTCTTACCAACACGGCTTCTTTACAGGACGTTCGAACACGACAAATTTACTTGAATTTAAAGACTATACATTAAATGCAATGGATAATGGAAACCACGTAGAAGCCCTCTATACGGACTTTAGCAAGGCATTTGACCAAATTGACATATCCATGCTGAAAAAAAAAATTGAAATTGAGCCAGGACTCCTGAAATGGCTTGAATCATATTTAACTAAGCGCCAACAAATAATTAAATTCAATGGAAAGAAATCAACCCCAATTCAAGTCTCCTCAGGAGTCCCCCCTAGGCTCTCATTTGGGACCTATTATTTTTATTCTGTATGTAAACGACATTTCCTTCATTCTCATAAAAATAAAATTGCTAATCTATGCCGACGACATGAAGCTCTATTTGGAAATAAGAAATGATGATGACATCAATGTATTCCAGAGTGAAATACACATATCCCAAGTATCAATTTGGGTTTTATGAGGGTTATGTAGACCAAGATTTAGACTTGTAGAGTGCTTTAGAACCTTGATAAAACTTGCAGCCTATTAGAACAGAACGTAAAAAAATGCAACTTAATATATTTAGTAGAAAAAGAACACCACCAAACATTTCAATTGCATTGAGAAATCAGAATGTAGAAAAATGTGAAAGAGTTAGAGATTTAGGGATTATCTTAGACTCCAAACTAACTGTCATAGATCATTACAATACAATAATTCACAGGGTAAATAACATGCTACTGTGTTACCTGACTTATAACGAATATACGTTGTATACGAGTACCCCGAATACTACGTATTATAACATTATGAAGGTAGCATGCAACTTACCTTTTTTCCCTCAGGGGCTGCCTACTCTGTCGATCGGGAGGTTACGTTGGGCCCGCGCGTTGGGTCGCTCGCTGCTCTCTGCGTCGTCGCAGGCGTCGGGGCAATTGCGGCAGGGATTCTCCTAGGAATCCTGCGAGCACACGTGGTTAGGCGTATTTCTTTTGGTTGCGGCACACTTTTCGGACAGAGGTACGAAATTTGATTTCACCACTCGCGCACTAATGTGGACCGTACTAACGGCCTGTTCTTTTCCGGCTTCTCGGACCAACACTAGGAGCTCGAAGGAGGCAATTATTCACTCCTTCGGCTACCACACAACCGACGGACACTCGCGGACTGTGCACCAGCTCGGTGGCAAATACTACGCACGCCACGTGTAGGTTTCGGCACACTTCGTCCGAACAGCAGAGTTACGCACTACCGAGACTGGTTTTAGGATCTTCTGGCCAGGTTACAGGCCGTTTCACTCGCCACACTCGGCGTCACACACGCGAAAGTTAAAAATCCGTATTATACTTTCTAACTCGACTGAATAATTTTGCGCGTCCGTACGGTCACAAGGTTTTCCACAAAAGAGGCCTCATCAAGCGGTCGAGAGCCTATTTATCTCCTCCCTCGCTCGCAATGGGAGGACTGAACTTCCTTCCACACACGTTTGCCAACCGTTGAGAAGGGGTGGTAGTCGTCTACTCGAGCAGTTTTGGTAGCGGACGGCGCTCAAATAGGCGAGTTTATTTTAAATATTCTAACAATTTCTAGATCTAGCTCCTATCTTACAAACAATTACTATAACAAGTATATTTTAATTTAATGGGACATGCTCTAATGTTACAGTACGACTCGTCTAATTTTGCATAGCATTTGCAATGTAAAATTAGACGAACTATACGTTGTATTCGGGGTACTCGTATACAACGTATATTCGTTATAAGTCAGGTAACACAGTAGAAGCAACAATCAATACGAAACTAACGATTTTAAATTGGCTCACTACTTGATTAGCCTATTGGTCCCAAGCAAACGAATAACGTATCCCATTCTAGTCAAAATTCTATTACTACAAAATGTTTGTTTTGATTAGCTATGAAAGTTTGACAGATAAAATGAGGGGTTTTTGGTTTTTCCTATGTTTCGAGGGGTGAATCATTAGCTTGGGACCGAAGAGAGTACCAGAGCTGAGCCAAAAAGTTGAACACGTTATTTCGGGACCTACTAGTCTTAGAGTTACCTCTATGGTAGAAGCATAGAGATAACTCTAAGACCAGAAGGTCCCGAAGAAACGAGCTCAACTTTTTGGCTAAGATCTGGTACATACTATCTTCGGTCCCAAGCTAATCGATGCACTCCTCGAAACATAGGAAAATCCACGAACCCCCCATTGTATCTGTCAAACTTTCATAGCGAATCAAAACAAACATAGTGTAGTACTGGAATTTATACTAGCATGGGGTACGTTAATCGATTTGCTTGGGACCAATAGGCTAGTCAAGTAGTGAGCCAATTTAAAATCGTTAGTTTCGTATTGATTGTTGGTATTACCGCAATATCTTCTAAAATTATCCACACATGAAATTATCACTTGAGCAACAAAAAGTTCGATGAAAGCTTATGGATAAAACTGCGAATCAAAATGTAAACAAACATCATGGCTTGCTGATTTTTTTCGTTCACGAGACGATGCAGGCGATGTGAAGAAAGATGCAAGATGCGAGAGTCGGTGGAAGTATGTAGATAATATCACAGATGAAAACAAATAGCACACAGTGATTAGATAAATAAAGGCTGAGCATGATTTAAGGTCCACTCAGATATTACGTAACACAAGAAGGGGTGGGGGTAGTCAGGCAATGCGTTTACCGCTATGTATTAGGCATAGGAAAAGTGCGTGACGATGGGGGTAAGGGGTATATCGACCTTTTTGAGCTACATAATATTTGAACGGGCCCTCATGGTAAAAAGGTGATAATCTGGATATGTCGCCCCCTTCGTATTTTTATTCTGTGAATCAAAACACATTGTTATCATCTACTCAAGATGGTAATTTCAGTAGTCAAGCCACATTAATTGGTTCATAGGGACGTATAAATTCAAATTCGCCTCCGTTGAGTCACAATGAATGGAAATGCCACTATCGATCTCATCAGCATAAAAATGTAAATTCTGGTTGCCGAAATGATTCATCTCCAATAAACAAACCTTTATTCCGTGTGAGTCTTTAACGACTTGATCATGGACCATTTCCTGTCGATCGCATCCAAGTTCGAACGAGCGAATTTTCAAAATAAAAACTCATGCTTTCTTCGCGCGCAGACAGCTGGTAGCTGCGGGAATAACCAGTTCGAAACTCGTTTCGCTCCGGTCGGTGCTTACTGGTTATTTAAAGGCAGCGTGCTGGTAGAACGACAACTCCAGTTGCAAGTGCTCAAGCTTAGGTTCAGGTGCAAATCGTCAGAAGTGAAATGTATTTGATATTGATGTTTATGAAGAAATTTAGTCAAGATGATGTTTTTCCTACATCTCGTAGTAGTGTTGATTTTAGTGCTTTCGGTGAGAGGTAACAACTGTCCAGCCGAGAAAGCCGTCTGCATTGAAGAACAATTCTGCAGTAATGTCACCACTATAGGTGCCGGTGGATATCTCGGGTGCCTTACCACCCGAGGAAAATACGGAGTTTGTTGTTCCAAATTGAATACAGTTTGCCGGAGGAAAGGTGGTCCATGGTTTGACTGTGATCCAACAAAGCCACCAAAAAGCGAAATTCAACGCAAAACGGAGGACGAAAACGGTAAGAGTTTCATCGGGGATTTTCCATCTGAGTAAGGTGAATCATCAATTCCTGTTTGCATAATGTTTCGTCTTTCAGCTTTCCCGACTTGTCGTACGCCATACCAGCACCGGGGTAGATGTGTGCCGCTGAGAATGTGCGATCGCCTACATGATCGGTACTTGAAGAAGCATCACAAAATAAGCCGCGCTTTTGGGGAATTCTTGCTCAAGTCCAAGTGCCAGTCGAGCGATCTCGGCAGCACTTCCTTCTGTTGCCGGGATCCTCCCAGTCCGGATGGCCTCATCAAACATTGGAGGGCCCAGCGGTTGGGTCTCGATCAGTGCGGAACCGTTCCTTTCGGGGGTAAGATTCTCGAAGGCCAGGAGGCCGGTCTGGGACAGTATCCCTGGATGGTCAACCTGATGTACTACTTACGCAAAATAAAAACATCGATTTGCAGTGGTTCATTGATCCACCCTGTGTACGTCCTGACGTCAGCGCATTGTTCCAAGCGTGGTGCCAAGCCCGTATCAGTGCGATTGGGAGAATACGACCGCAGCACGAGAATAGACTGCGAAGATGGTGTATGTGCCACACCCTTTAAAGAATACTACGTAGATGAATGGATTCCACACGAGTACTATCGCCATGGACATAGGACTCATGATATCGCTCTAATACGGTTGGACCGCCCTGTCCCGCTAGTACCTCGCCAGATCTACCCGATTTGCCTTCCGCTGACGGAGCAAATGTTGATGACGAAGCCGAGTCAGCTGACCGTGACCGGATGGGGACTAACGGAAGAACAAACCCAATCCAATGTGCTACAGGAAGTCAGTCTGCAGGTCATGGGCACTTCCGAATATTGCCAGCACGCAGAGCTGATATGCGCCCGGGGAAGGAACAACGAAGGACACTGTCGAGGAGACTCGGGTGGGCCTCTGCAGAAGGTGATGCCTTATAATGGAAGCTTCAAAACCGTTTTGTTTGGAGTGGTTTCTGGGGGTTCGGTTGAATGTAGCACACAGGATAAAACTCCCGGGGTATCGACCATGGTTGGGTATCACATCAGGTGGATACTTGATCATATGAAATACGTGTAACGCATAGATTTGAACATAAGATGTTCAGACCAACATATGTACCTGCCAATATAACAAAAGACTGTTCAATACACATCAAGCTGAACATTGCATTAGGTCCTAAGTAACATTGACAGATTCTCTTCATCGACTTTCTCTTTGTATTCCTACGGCCATGTAAAGACATTCCCAGGTATTTTCAGCACACAGATCGCTAAAAGAAGCTTTTATCTAGCATCTAATATGACAAACACAACAAGAAATGGTTATGGGGTCAAGTTATTAACGAAAGAGAAAGTCGACGAAGAGAATCAATCAATGTTACTTAGGACCTAATGCAATGTTCAGCTTGATATGAGAATATGGTTTTTGTTTTGTTCCAGCTACTACAGTAACTTACCAGTTTTAAATTTTTAGTATTATCTAAGTGTGTTTACATTGTTCCTGCTTTGGCAATTCAGTATTTTAAATAGGTTTTCTATACCTGCATGTCATAGATGACAATCTGAAAACTAAGAACTAAACTCGAACTAAACCTAAATCTTGTCCATATATATATATACATAGGGAATAAGGTGATCCAAGAGACTAGAGTCGGTGTATAATGAGTCGCGCCAAGAGTGAAGCCAAGTCTACCTATTGAACTGTCAAACTGGCTACCTATCGTGCAAAGTAAACAAACATTACGATGCTATGAAAGGTCCACGAAAGGTATTACAATAAAATATAAATTATAATTGAATAAATGATCATAACCACGCAGTGAGCATTAAATTGTCATGGGATACGTTTGGTAATGATCAGTAATGAGAATTTCTACTATTTGTTGATAAGATAATTTGACAATTTGATAATTTGACTGAAATAATGATTCACTACAGCCGCTATTTTTTTTCTCGCTAGAAGTCCTCTGTTGCCTAGTGAAAAGAAAGGGAATCTTTCGAAAACCGTGATGCGCGTTCAACTGTTTTTCTCTTGGCGTGACTCATTATACACCGACTCTACAAGAGACGTTTTTCAGTGTAACTGACAGCTAGAAATCAAGAGTGTGTGCGTGATCTGGTGTTAATGGTGCTGAAGTTTAACCAAAAACAAAGCAGAAATTCATATGAGTGTGAACTGTCAGTTCTACTGTGATCTGTCAAAAGTTCTTGCTGATCGCAAATGTCTCGTGGACAGCCTTATTAATCATTTCATTTGAGGATTTTTGCTTGAAATTATTAATTATTTTGTTTGAAATCTCTAGATAGAGCTGGAATTAAACTTCTCTCGATGATTTCTAAGAATTCAAGGCACGCCTACACAAACCAACATATCCATCGGAAGACTTCCCCTACTCGATGGTGATGTCGATTTGCGTGGGCGAGTCTTGACTTTCAAGAAATCATCGAGAGAAGTCATTGTATACAAAAGCTGGTACGCCCTAAATCCAGCTCTATCAAGAATTTGTTCTAAAGTCTCAACATTCAAATTTATATGTACCTCGGTAGTACCACAAATGACGTGACAGACGACTAACTGGCGAAGAAATCAATAGACCTTTTTAATGCGCCACCAATGCAGAGTGTGCCAGGCGAGTTCGAGAGGAAATGTCAAACAAACCGTTTGTTTACATCAGAATAAGTATTTTTCACAATGCATATCAAAGCATTTTTCATTGAACATCTTTCCAATTTCCGACAGTAATTGTCTTATTTTACGATTTTCTACATTTTCTATCTATTTTCTATCTTAACTGATTTGCACCTAAACTATTCGGGGTCTCATAGCCTAGTCACTAAAGGCACGGTATTACCAACAATCAATACGAAACTAACGATTTTAAATTGGCTCACCACTTTAGTAGCCTATTGGTCCCAACCCTAATAAAATTGTTATGGTTATTTTGCTTAACGACGTGTTCCGGGTATTATCCAAACCATTTATGGAATAGTTCTATTATTTGGGTTATCGTTCGTTTATGGTTATTTTTTATTAGGGAAGCAAACGATTAACGTACCCTATTCTAGTTGAAATTCTATTACTACACTATGTTTGTTTTGATTCGCTATGAAAGTTTGACAGATAACATCAGGGGTGTGTGGATTCATGCAGAACATGCAGGGGTGAGTGAAATAGCTTGGGACTGCTTGGGACCGTTGTTCTGGTACTGAGTGAGCCAAAAATAATAATGATTTTCTTCGGGACCCAGTGGTGTTAGAGTTACCTCTATGGTAGTACCACAAACGAAGTGACAGACGGAGCGGCTCGAAAACTTTGGTGACGCACCTGCTAATGCAATTTTTCAGTGTACCACATGGCAACACCACTACTACCAGTTACCACTTAGAGGTAACTCTAAGACTAGAAGGTCCCGAAATAACGTGCTCAACTTTTTGGCTCAGCTCTGGTACTCTCTTCGGTCCCAAGCTAATCTATTCACCCCTCATTTTATCTGTCAAACTTTCATAGCGAATCAAAACAAACATTGCGTAGTACTAGAATTTCTACTACAATGGGGTACGTTAATCGTTTGCTTGGGACCAATAGGCTAGTCAAGTAGTGAGCCAATTTAAAATCGTTAGTTTCGTATTGATTGTTGCTACTACTGGATTGCACCATAGAGGTAACTCTAAGACTAGTAGGTCCCGAAGAAACGTGTTCAACTTTTTGGCTCAGCTCTGGTACTCTCTTCGGTCCCAAGCTAATCGATTCACCCCTCGAAACATAGGAAAATCCACTAACCCCTCATTTTATCTGTCAAACTTTCATAGCGAATCAAAACAAACATTGTGTAGTGCTAGAATTTCGACTAGAATGGGGTACGTTAATCGTTTGTTTGGGACCAATAGGCTAGTCAAGTAGTGAGCCAATTTAAAATTGTTAGTTTCTTATTGATTGTTGATTGCACCACATGGCAACACTAAATGTACTAGAATGTTTTGGTTCTATCTCTTTCACTCTACTCTTAACTGAAATGCATAAAAAAATGACAAAATGATACACTCTTTGCACACTGTCAAAGATCATATTGCACACAAAATCAACTATATTCAAATCAAAACAAAAATACTAGCCCATCTAGTAGATGATGGCACAAGCTTCTAAGAAAATTCTATTACAGCGAACCACATTATTTTTATTGATTTCTTCGTCAGTTAGTCGACTGTCACTTCGTTTGTGTTAGGAACGGAATGACTAATGTGAAGTAGTTTTGATGCAATATTCAACAACTTTTTTTTCTGTATTCGTCAGATGTGGTATGTGATTCCAGCTGACATCTACTAACTAGACGTGAAAAAGAACTGGCATCACTGATATAATCACTGCAAGGAATGTGGTGGCTTGCTCAATGCTTCATTAGCGCCACCATGACAAATGCAAGCACATTCCCAACTAAAAGATTATTTGCGATGAATGTGATTGTGAGTGTTATTTCTGTTTGTCTGTGATAGTACCTTTTCATTTAATAATTGATGGTCTACAATAAATTGAATTGGTTCCGCTTTTTGATAGATCAAAATTCTATCTGCCAGACTATTAATATAGCGACTATATGTAATCTCTATCGTACACTGAAAGATGTCGCATCGTCAATCAGGAAATGTTAGAATCTTCATCGGAAGAGTCTAGAATAACTTCGGAAATATGTAGAGTAATGCTCGTGAACCTCAGGAACAACCGCGAGGTTAGAAGCGAAGAAAACAATCAATCCAATAGGTCATATGAATAAAAGCGTTTACTTTACTTTTCCCGTAAGAAAAGCACGGGAAAGTAAAGTAAACTCTTTTTATTCATACGGCCCAATGTCTTGTTTTTATTTGCTACGCTGATAAAATTTCAAAGATTGTTTTTATGTGTCCCACTCATGAATTTTTGCAATGTGATCAACAAATGATATCTATGTGTCGAACACATACTTAATATGTGTACACATAAAAGCCATGTGTAACCACACATACTATTCATTTGACTCATAAATTTCATGTGTGATTCTGGGTGGATTCTGTTTATGTGTGGTCACATGAAAATCATGTGAATTTTACATGGAAATTCGTCAATAAAAATGTGTGGAATTTTATTAGTGTATGAAAATTTGACAGATAAAATGAGGGGTTCGTGGATTTTCCCGAGGGGGACAACTCTATCTACGATGCAGAAAAGATTGTGTTTTGCTGTGGCTAGCTGCGCGCACGCTGAGTAGATAGAAAGAAGATTGATGACGATTCTGAAGATTTCCTGCAAAAAGATGATACGCGATGCAAGTAGATGCGACAAATGAAAGAAGATTTTTCGAAGATTGATTCGCTAGTGTGAGATTTGTTGAGCATCTAAACTTGAGATTTAGATGTGTCGCCCCCCTCGGATTTTCCTATGTTTCGAGGGGTGCATCGATTAGGGAGCATTCATAAATTACGTAGCATATTTTTGATCAATTTTAGACCCCTCCTCCCCCCCTCGTAGCGTATTTGGCTATATCCAATACATGGCCGGTCACAAATTCTGAAACCCCCACCTCCCCCCTCAAATGCTACGTCATTTATGCATGTTCCCTTAGCTTGGGACCGAAGATAGTACCGTTGATCCCCGGTTCATGAGTTGATGGGTCGATAGGTAGGGTCCAGGTGTGAAAGCTGCCTTCCTGGCACGTCGGTAGCATTGGTGCTCAGCACGAAAAACAAGATCGACGGAAAAAATAAACCAAAGGAAAAAAAAAAAATCCTGAGCTGAGCCAAAAAGTTGAGCACGTTTCTTCGGGACCTTCTAGTCTTAGAGTTACCTCTACACGCTATTTCAAAACTACCCAAATTTGGGTAGAATCCACACATATCGGTCAAAACTGAACCTACCCAAAAATGGGTAAACTGTGTTGGGAGTGACAAGTTGACAAATGAACAACGTCGATCAGATTCATATCAATGTTGTTAATTTGTCAACTTGTCACTCCCAACACAGTTTACTAATTTTTTGGGTAGGTTCAGTTTTGACAGATCTGGGTGGATTCTACTCAAATATTAGTAATTTTGAAATAGCGTGTATGG